AATACTAATCAGTATCCAAATACTTATTCAACGGTATCCGAATACTTTTCTTCCCAGAAAAGTATCCCAATACTCCTCTAAGGAGTATTCGACTACCAAGGGATAAATATTTGAATACTACACAAAAAGTATTCGAATACTTATCAGACAGAATGCAGAAATTCATGCATTCTCTGCATAAGTCCCATTTTAATGATCCAAACTCGATCTGAAGTCCAATAACTCCAACAACAGATGTTCATTAACATATTTTAGACTCAGAATCTCAGTCCTTAGCTCAAATGATCAAAGTTACACTTTTTAATGTATTAAACAAACTCAAATCATGAAAATGACAAACTCAAACTCAAAAAAAGACTCCTCCTTGGAGCTCCCAACACAGTCCTAAGGTGCTGACCTTGCAAGGGCACAAAAATGCACTACAAGATTAGTCCTTTACACCAAAATGAGGCTTCTTGAAGCCTTAAATGACAGGAACAAGGCTCCACTCAACCAAACTCAGAAATACAGCCCCCAACTCACCCAAACAGCAACCACACAACTCTGAATGTGAGACCACACACTCTCACAAGCTTGCTCTCACTCACCTATACCACTTTGATGGAGGAAGAGTGAACAAATGTGATCACTTTAGAGGTTTCAATGGAGAGAATGGTGGTGGTCAGAGGGGAAGACACCAAGTCAGAAAAGGGAGGCACAAGAGTCACGCAGAAAATGGCTGAGTATCAGCTAGAGCTCTGTGCCCTTTAGTATTTATAGGCTCATTAACTTTAATCACACTGTATTATCTCTAATAGTTACGCTTATCATTTTAATCTCAAATTTGGGATTCTGAACCTAGCCATTTTTCTAGGATTTTTAATATTTTTTATTTTATTTTTCGCAACACTTTGCCAGTACGCGCTTTTATAAAGTCGGTATCTGTTCTGACACTAATCCTTATTATTTTGACTTGAAACTTGTTATGCTAGTCCTATATATTATTTTAGTGACATATACATACTTTTCATAATTTTTTGGGATACTTCATTGGTACGCATTTATACCGAGGTGCAGAACCGGTATATGCACTTTTCGTCAGAAAAGCGACTTTCAACATTATTAATCACTTACCTTAATAATTTAAGCCTTCTCTTAATTATTAGGGTCAATTATGGAATTATCTCATTAATATCATAATTAATTAATGAGTAAATATCCTTTTTGGTCCTCAGCAAATTTCACGATACCCGCTTTAATCCCTAACAAATAAAAAGGCCCATCGTGGTCCCTAAGAAATTCAAAATGGACCCATTTTAGTCCTTTTAGGGACTAATATGGGTTATTTTTGAATTTGTAAGGGACCACGATTTCAACTAAATGGGTCCATTTTGAATTTCTTAGGGACCACGATGGGCCTTTTTATTTGCTAGGGACTAAAACGGGCATCGTGAAATTTGATGAGGACCAAAAATGGTATTTACTCATAATTAATTAATTTCCTAAATTAACGGAGCAGGTTCTTACATTCACCCCACCTTTTAAGAATTTTTTCCGTAAAATTAGAAACATACTTGTCCCGAAACTTGGGTTACTGCCGGAGAAGCTCGTCCTCTCGCTTCCAAGTACACTCCTCAAGAGTTCTTCCTGTCCACTGCACTTTGATCATTGGAATGATCTTTCTCCTAAGCTTCTTCTCGCCTCTGTCGAGAATCTTGAGTGGTCCGACGGGAGTTTTCAAGTTCTCCCGAACTTCCACATCATCCGGTTGCACCACGTGCGACGGATCAGCTATGTACTTCCGAAGCTGAGACACGTGAAACACGTCGTGGATGTTGGCCAAGTTCGGAGGATAGGCAAGCCGGTAGGCAACGAGTCCTACTCTACCAAGAATCTGGTATGACCCATTGAATCTCGGGCTCAGCTTCCTCACTCTGAGGGCCCGATCAACACCGGTGACAGGTGAAAGTCTCACAAACACGTGCCCACCCTCACTGAACTTCAGTGGACGATGCTTAACATCATAATAGCTCTTTTGGCGATTCTGCGTCTGTTTCAGCTTCTCTCTGATCAACTGAATTTGCTGGGTAGTATCTTGGACAAAGTCCAAGCCAAACAACTCCATGTCTCCAACCTCCGACCATCAAGTAGGAGTCCGACACCTCCTACCGTACAACGCCTCGTTGGGTGCCATGCCCAGGCTAGCATGAGAACTGTTGTTGTACGAAAACTCCACCAATGACAGGTACCTATCCCATGCTGAACCCTGCTCCAATGTGCAAGCCCTCAACATGTCCTCCAAGGTCTGGATGGTCCGCTTAGTCTGTCCGTCAGTCTGAGGGTGATAGGTTGTACTCAATCGCAACTGAGTACCAAAAGCTCCATCCAGCGCCTCCCAGAATCGAGATGTGAACTTCGGGTCCCTATCACTGATGATACTCTCGGGCACCCCGAGAAGTCTCACGATCTCGCGAACATAAAATCTTGCCAACTGCTCAGTAGTGAAGCTCACCTTCACTGGAAGAAAATGGGCAGACTTCGTCAATCTGTCCACAATGACCCAGATAGAGTCACAACCAGCCCGAGTCTTCAGCAATCCCACCACGAAGTCCATAGAAATGTTCTCCCATTTCCATTCTGGAATCTCAAGCGGTTGAAGTTTACCAGACGGCTTCTGGTGCTCAATCTTCACCTTCTGGCAAATTAGACACTTGGACACAAAAACAACTATATCCTTCTTCATGACCGACCACCAGTAATTTCTCGTCAAGTCCTGGTACATCTTTGTAGCACCAGGGTGGACAGTAAACTGGCCCTTATGGGCCTCTGTCATCACCTCCTCAGTCAAAGGACCTCGAGGAACTACAATCCTCTTCTGGAATGTCAACAATCCATCCTCATTCTAAAACACACCATCTTAGTTCTTTACGTAATCCAGGCACTCTCTTTGCACCTGCGCCTATTTAATCTTTTCCATGAGCTCATTTTCAACTTGCATAGTTTCCATTTTGAGAAGTGCACCCCAAAAAAAGAGATCACCTTCAGATCTCGAAACTGCTCAATTATATCATAGTCACCCATCGTCAAACTTGATAGACTCACGGATTTCCGACTGAAAGCATTAGCTACCACATTGGCCTTGCCATGTTGGTACTTCAACTCAAAGTCGTAGTCCTTCAGATACTCCATCCATCTCCTCTGTCTCATGTTCAGCTCCTTCTGATCGAACAGATACTTCAAACTCTTGTGGTCACTGAACACGACAAACTTCATGCCAAAAAGATAATGCCTCCAAATCTTGAAAGCAAAAACAATAGCAGCCAACTCCAAATCATGATTCAGGTAGTTCTCCTCATGAGGCTTCAACTACCTCGAAGCATAGGCAATCACTTTGCCCAACTGCATCAACACACAGCCCAACCCCTTTCCGGAGGTGTCAGTGTAAAGCTCAACTTCCTCAGCAGGATCAGGAAGGACCAACACAGGTGCAGTCGTCAGTCTCTCCTTCAACTCCTGAAAGCATTCCTCACACTTGTGAGTCCACACAAACAGAGTCTCCTTCCGTGTAAGGCGAGTCAATGGTAGAACCAACATGGAGAATCCCTTGATGAACCTCCGATAGTAACCTGTCAAACCCAGAAAACTTCTCACTTTAGTAACCGTCTTGGGCCTCTCCCAATCTAACACGACCTCAATCTTGTTCAGTCCACCGCAACTCCCTCAGCAGAAATCACATGCCCAAGAAACTTCACTGACTTGAGCTAAAACTCACACTTGGAAGGCTTACCATAAAGTTTTTTCTCCTTCAGCACTTGCAACACAATCCTCAAGTGCTCAGCATGCTCCTCCTCCGTCTTGGAGTAAATCAAAATATCGTCAATGAAGACGATCATAAACTGATCCAGATACGGCTGGAAAATCCGGTTCATGTAATCTATAAACTTTGCGGGTGCATTGGTGAGACCAAACAGGATCACCAAATACTCATAGTGACCGTATCTCGAGCGAAACGCGGTCTTCGGGACATCCTCCGGCTTAACCCGAATCTGATGGTATCTGGATCGGAGATTAATCTTTGAATACCCACAAGCGCCCTTCAGCTGCTCCAACAGATCGTCAATATGAGGAAGTGGATACTTGTTCTTGATTGTCACCTTGTTCAACTGCCTGTAGTCAGTGCACAATCGCATAGTCCCATCTTTCTTTTTCACAAAAATAACTGGTGCTCCCTATGGAGACACGCTCGATCGAATGAAGTCTTTTGCCGAAAGATCCTCAATGTGTTTCTTCAGCTCCGCCAACTCTGGTGGCGACATCTGGTATGGAGCTAATGAAATGGGCCCCACACTAGGCAACAAGTCTATGAAGAACTCTATCTCTCGTTGTGGCGGAAACTCAGGAATCTCCTTAGGAAACACCTCGAGGAATTTCTTCACCACAGGAATGTCAGCGATATCCTCCTGTGTCCCCCTCACCAAACCTCCCAACATGACATATCCAAATGCCCCTGCTCTCAAGGCTCTCCTAGCCTGCAACACTGAAATATAAGGCGAGGAACTGGCGGTGGAATCACACAGAGACATCACCACTCGCTTGGCACAACAATCAATCATCACACAATTCTTGGACAACCAATCCATGCCAAGGATGATCTCCAAATAGGCCATCAGAAATCCTATCAGATCCACCAAAAAATCACGACAATCTCACTGAAACACGAAATCTCGATGTATAGTGGAGGTATCACACTTTTCTACGATGGCGGTAGTCACCCGCAATGGTGGAGAAAGCACAGCACTGGGCAACTTAAGCCCCACAGCAATCAGGGTTGCAATAAAGGAATGCGTAGCCCCGAAATCAAACAAGACATCAACATCAGATCCACCAATGGAAACAGTACCTCTGACAAGGTTTGGAGCTCGGTCCGACTGCTGCCGTTCCAAGGTGTAAACACGACCCGTGGCAGGTGGCATTATAGGTGCCGTTGTAGGTGGTAGGGGAACCATCTGAAGTGAAACTGCCTAAACCGCTGCAGCTCTTGCGGTCGATGACGGACAATCTCTGGAATAGTGGCCCGCCTGGCCACTCTGAAAAGAAATCAACTTTCCGGTAGCACACGACCCCACATGGAACTTCCCACATCCCGAGCATCTGGGAGTAGAAGGTCTAGTTGTACTTCCTGGAGTAGAAGTCCTCTTGAACTGACTAGGCGCCTGCCTAGCAGCCAACTGTTTTCTCTTTCCCTTACCAGCAAACTTCCTGTCCTTTCAGGAAGTGGAACCACCAGTTCCCTTAACTTCAGCAACTTTGGCCCTCTTGGCCGTGCTCACAATACATACATCCTCGATGTCCCGATACTGATGTACCAGTGTCCCAAAGTCTCTCGAAGCAGCTCCAGCAATGCGATCAGCTATCTCCTCATTAAGTCCCCTACGGAACTTAGCAGCCAAGAATGTCGGAGTAGGCATAACGATCCTGAAATGTGCAAACTTTACCAGTTCATTGAATTTAGCCAAGTATTCGTCAACAGACAACGAGCCCTACACCAATCTGTCAAACTTTCCCTGCTTCCTCTCCTGAGCATCATAAGGAAAATATCTTCCCAAAAAGCAATCCTCGAAGAATGGCCATGTCATGACATGACCCTGCATCTCATAGGCGTGAGAGGTGTTCATCCACCACTCATGTGCATCGTCCTCCAGAATATACGTCGCAAACATCAACTTTTGCGGATCAGTGCACTGCATGACTCGGAAGATCTTATCCAACGCCTGAAGCCATCTCGCAGCAGCAATAGGATCATAGGACCCATCAAAAGAAAGTGGCTTATCCTTGCAGAAAGCATTAAGCCGGCGATCAATCACATCACGATCCTCAACAGGCTCATGGTAGGGTTCTATCACCCCAGTACGCTGACTGGAACCCTCAGTGTGACTCTGACTATCGTCATGAAGATTGGGTGGAGGTGGTGGTGGAGGAAACTGACCCTTATTGCGGCCAGCCCTCATTTCCTCCAACATGACCCTCATCATGGTCATGTTCGTCAGCCTGTTTGCCTCAAGAACATCTTCCCTGGCGTTCCGGTTCTCCTGTCGGACGGCGTCCATCATCGCCTGGTTGGCCAATTTAGCAGCCTCCTGATCGGCTAGTCTAGCCGCCTGCATCTCAGCTAATGCAGTCAGGACAGGATCAGGTTGATCCTCGTTCGTCTCTCGGTTTCTCCTAGGCATTACCATGACTCTGCACAAGTTACACAAAGAATGAGTTCATCAGGCCCACGCAATGTGGTCACACGTGCATCATTATAGCAAAACCCAACTGAGAAAACACACAAGACAAGATACCCAGCAATACATCCTAAGTTATTGCAATACATACAGGCTTCTCCCTATAAATTGCTCTGATACCATAAAATGTAACACCCCGTGTATACCCGATTTGTTATCATGTCATCGTATTAAGCTACGCTTAATTAAAATTACGGAATAACTTTTTCTTTTCAATTATGACGTCATTAACATTACCAAGTTGATTATTTAATCATTTATAATAAAACATTGTCTGTATGTAAATTGCAATAAAACTTAAGACACTGAATAACCTCATGTATAAATGAGTGAGTATCTAAGTCACGAAACTTCAACACGTAGTCTGGATCAACATCCTGATACATTAAAACAACTCGAATCTAAAATAAGACATAGTCAATCAATGTGGCATGGACAACCCTCATACTCACCAAATAAGGCAACAAGGCCCAACAGAGTCTCAAATCAAAAAACATAATATCAAATAAATAACAAGTCAGCAACCAACATATCATCATAACAGCAGACATCTAACTCAGCTCCGGCCTCCTGCCGCCCGAGGTCTCAACCCCCGAGTTACCTGAACCTGAAATATGTGCCCCAAACGTGGGGTGAGATCTCTAAACAGAAATCTCAGTAAGACAAGGGGTCCTCAAGGATTTCTCCACCCCAAGCTCACTTACATGTGCAATATAAGTTCAAAAGCAGTAATATAATATAAGTTCCAAAATCAGTGCAATGCAACAGAATAATCATGTCATGTGTGTCAACTATTCTACTGGCCAGAGAAATGCAGGATTTGCATACGTCTATTACCTACATTAGTGCAAGACACCACTTGCACCCACCCACAGAATCACCCTATGACATGTCTCCTACATACATAGGCTTACCTTCTAGGTGGAACAACACATGCATATTATAAGGCACTTGCACATAACAGCTCAACAGCATTTCCAAAACAATACATGAAAACACATCATGCATATAAACCAACCCCCCATGGGGTATGGTGGAACCAATAATGGCTAAACCGAGGACATGAAAGCTTACCTCTTAAGCAATCAATCCAAGCCAAGTCCACACAAGCTCAATATCACCAAACAGCACAATCACAGTCTGTTTATACAATGATTAATCATCAATAATCATTGCCAAGGGTTCCATTAAGTGATTAAGGCTTTCCAACTCATTTTAAGTGATTTAAGACTAAATCTGCAGGAGGTATTCGAATACTCCTCGATGAGTATTCGAATACTCCATGTCTCCAGAAAGTATCTGAATACTTTCACTTAAGTATTCGAATACCACAAGGTATCCAAATACTTTTCCTCAAGTATCCCAATACCACCAAGTATCCGAATACAAATACCACAGTATTCGAATACTAATCAGTATCCGAATACTTATTCAACGGTATACGAATACTTTTCTTCCCAGAAAAGTATCCCAATACTCCTCCAAGTAGTATTCAACTACCAAGGGATAAGTATTCGAATAATACACAAAAAGTATTTGAATACTTATTAGACAGAATGCAGTAATTCGTGCATTCTCTGCATAAGTCCTATTTTAATGATCCAAACTCGATCTGGAGTCCAATAACTCCAACAACAGATATTCATTAACATATTTTAGACTCATAATCTCAGTCCTTAGCTCAAATGATCAAAGTTACACTTTTTAATTGATTAAACAAGCTCAAATCATGAAAATGACAAAGAGGTGATCATGGAATACCTCAAGTGTCTCAAACTCAGAAAAAGACTTCTCCTTGGAGCTCCTAACACAGTCCCAAGGTGCTGACCATGCAAGGGCACAAAAATGCACTACAAGATTGGTCCTTTACACCAAAAGGTGGCTTCTTAAAGCCTTAAATGACAAGAACAAGGCTCCACTCAACCAAACTCAGAAATACAGCCCCCAACTCACCCAAACAGCAACCACACAACTCTGAATGTGAGACCACACACTCTCACAAGCTTGCTCTCACTCACCTATACCACTTTGATGGAGGAAGAGTGAACAAAGGTGATCACTTTAAAGGTTTCAATGGAGAGAATGGTGGTGGTAAGAGGAGAAGACACCAAGTCAGAAAAGGGAGGCACAAGGGTCACGTAGAAAATGGCTGAGTATCAGCCTAAGGCTTTGTGCCTTTTAGTATTTATAGGCTCATTAACTTTAATCACACTGTATTAGCTCTAATAGCTACGTTTATCATTTTAATCTAAAATTTGGGATTCTGAACCTAGCCATTTTTATAGAATTTTTCATATTTTTATTTTATTTTTCGCAGCACTTTGCCGGTACGCGCTTTTACGAAGGCAGTATCAGTTCTGACACTAATCCTCATTATTTTGACTTGAAACTTGTTATGCTAGTCCTATATATTATTCTAGTAACATATACATACTTTTCATAATTTTTCGGGATACTTCATCGGTAGACATTTATACCGAGGAGCAGAACCGGTATCTGCACTTTTCGTCAGAAAAGCGAATTTCAACATTATTAATCACTTACCTTAATTATTTAATCCTTATCATAATTATTAGGGTCAATTATGGAATTATTTCATTAATCTCATAATTAATTAATTAATTTCCTAAATTAACGGTGCGGGTTTCTTACATTCACCCCACCTTTTAAGAATTTTGTCCGCAAAATTAGAAAAATACATGTCCCGAAACTCGGGTACTTTCGAGAAGCTCGTCCTCTCGCTCCCAAGTACACTCCTCAGGAGTTCTTCCTGTCCACTGCACTTTGACCATTGGAATGATCTTGCTCCTAAGCTTCTTCTCGCCTTGGTCGAGAATCTTGAGTGGTCCAACGTGAGTTTTCAAGTTCTCCCGAACTTCCAGATCATCCGGTTGCACCACGTGCGACAGATCTGCTATGTACTTTTGAAGTTGAGACACGTGAAACACGTTGTGGACGTTGGCCAAGTTCGGAGGCAAGGCAAGCCGGTAGGCAACAGGTCCTACTCTACCAAGAATCTGGTATGACCCAATGAATCTCGGGCTCAGCTTCCTCACTCCGAGGGCCCGACCAACACCAGTGACAGGTGAAAGTCTCACAAACACGTGCTCACCCTCACTGAACTCCAGCGGATGATGCTTAACATCATAATAGCTCTTCTGACGATTCTGCGCCTGTTTCAGCTTCTCTCTGATCAACTGAATTTGCTGGGTAGTATCTTGGACAAAGTCCAAGCCAAACAACTCCTTGTCTCCAATCTCCGACCAACAAGTAGGAGTCTGACACCTCCTACCGTACAACGCCTCGTAGGGTGCCATGCCCAGCTAGCATGAAAACTGTTGTTGTACGAAAACTCCACCACTGAAAACTGTTGTTGTACTAAAACTCCACTAATGCCCAAGCTATCGTACAATGCCTCTCACAGCTTCCCTATATTTTTTATCTTCATTGATTCCTTCGATCTGGAAATATTGTTCTGAATCGATTAGCCATCCCCAAGCTTCGTGATCTCTTCCTTCTCCAAAGAATTTTGGAACAGCTGTAAATCTGTATTTTTTTTTTTTAGATCTGTGTTTAAAAGAGCACTCCCAGGATTGTAGTGCTTTGATACCTAATTGATGGAACCCAAACAATTATAACTATGTATTTATTAAATCAAGAAATTGCAAACACTAATTCAAGATTAAATTCAGCAAATAAACACCAAAAGACCTCACTCACTCTAAAGTCAATATACCTAGGCCAAAGAGATCCCAAGAGATTCTTTCCCAAAACCCCACTCCAAATATTCTGAATACATGCATAAAGAAAACCCCACCCCTAAATCACTTTATATAACAACATCTCTCTACTCTAACTAACTATTATGAACTCTTTTGCATTGCTGGACTTAGGCCCACTTGTCATAGCCCAATAAATAGATTAGTATATTATGAACCAGTCAAAGTTGAATGCTAAAGAAATTCCCGTTACGTGTTTAGACAGCTTCAACAATCACAAATGCAGATTAGTTTTTTTTCCCTCAAACATCTAAACTCAATCTCTGCCTTTTAACTGCCATGGTGCTGAGCGAGTAGTTGTACCGAGCGGTAAGATTGAATTGTCGTGCTAGTTGTGCCAAGCGGCAAATGGTTCCGCACGAATCATTTGAGGAACCTAGTCCCAACAGTGTTATGGTTTGCGAGTTTACTAAGAAAAATGTTTAGTTTGTTAAAAAAACTAGTTTATGGTAGAAAAGGGTGTAATTAAACCTGAATTAAATTCGGTGGAATTGTAATAGAGATATAATTTTTTGTTCGTTCTGTTACCACACACAAAATGTTTTTGTTTGTTTGATCAGTTAAAGAGATGACATTATTTTTATATTTATTTCCCGAATTCTTACATCATTTTTTATTTTTCTCTATTTTTTAAATAAGAAAAATATGAAAATATTATTCATAATTTTGGAGCATCAATAACATTAGCCACGGCCCATTGTGAAAGAAAGAAATTTATAATAACGAGCTAAATGAGTGTCAATTAACTAGCGACGGAGTCTGTTTATTATGTATAGGGAAAAAGGTGTGTCATTTTAAATGACACACCTTATATCATTTCATTTTCACAAAGAGATGACATTCACACATTTAAAAAAAAATTCATTTATTTTCTTTCTCATAATTTATCTATTTCTCTTATTTAAAATGACACAACTTTATATCTTTCAAAATAATACACATTTTTTCTTATTTATATTGGTCGCTGGTTGGTTGCCATAAGCTAAAGCTTCAAACAACAGCAACGCAGCCCAGCCCATTGGTTATGACAACAGAAATGGA